CCCCCCCCCCCCGGCAGTATCTAGAGCAAAGAAAGCGTAAACCAGTAACATAGGCAAGACAGATTCTACCTGGGTGTTAGTCTACAATGTCATGATATAACAGGCTCATAGAGTACTGTCGATAGAACAGTTCATTCTTGTCACACAACACATCTTGTGGTTACCCTTGTTTTGTTTTCCCCTTTCCTTCCAACTGTCAATTCAGATTCGTACTTCTGCACGGTCGCATTTGAGCACAAAACTGTTCGATGGGCGCCAAAAAACACATTTGACCGCCCACCACAAATCAGGCGAGGGTGGTCACTTGCACCCGCGCCGTGTGCCCCGATCCGTCATTCACCGTATGAGTCAAGAGTCTGGCAAATCTTGGTTTCCTTGTCGGTCGACACGGAAGAGTACAGATGCGAAATCCCGAGAACGAGGGACAAGTACAACGGATATCACTGCTGCCACCGTCCAAGTGGATGTTGATACAAATACACCGACCACGAGTCCCAACCCCAGTCCGGCTGCCCCAATCGCCACCGCCGCCGCCGCCACCATCACAACGGGTTCCACGATCCCGGATTCCATGACAGGACAATTAAAAGCCGAAACGATTGGCACCAAATGGACGGAACATGTGTACTCGTGGTCAGCTGAGTCCGAATGGCCGGAATGTCGGATTCCCCAACCCGTGTTTGCACTATTTGTCTATTTGGCGCAACGAGGTGTTCACGTGAACGATCTGTTTCGACGTCCGGGGAATATCACTCAGATGAAGGTCAGTATTGTGTGTGTGTGTGTACAAGAAACATTGAAATGCGTTAGCTGAACTGAAACACCAATGGTATCACCGTGAAATTTCCTTGTAATCCAAAGGTTACTTATACGATCCCCATGTGCCTTACTTGTAGTTCCCGCTCCGGGGAGAAAACTCACATAGGAGATAACAGATATCATGGATATAAGGCACGAAGAAACGCACATAGTGATTAGGTTATCTACCTGTCTCCCATATTCCATATTGGGATCCAATGGAGACTGAAGCTGATTTCATGGGAAACACTGAAAGATATGACACTGGTAACGTCCTTGTTGTCATTTCGCATCAGGTCAGAATACTTGAATATGTGTGTATGTACAGTTAGAATATGAACGCTGTGCGTTTGTTGATCAGGATGATTCATTTTGGTTTGCCCTTCCCTCAAAACCAGCCAGCCCCATTACCTATCCACCTTACATATTGTTGCTTGCTTTGTACACACAGTATAAGATTGCGCAAATCAGTTACATCCGCTTAACCGTATTTCACCGTACGCTGTACTAGTGATCAAGGTATTATTGTCAAATAGTGTCTATCTGTTAGGTCACATCAATAAAACCCTTCCAATTACAGCCCTAGTGCTCAGAGCTATATAAGCGGTCACTAGCCACTGTTTCCGAGGAACATAACTTTTTTTGAGTGGATAAAAATTTCTATTCATTCCCACTGAAGAAGTTGTATGACAGAGAGTCGATTATTGTCGGATGAAGTTCGGAAACTTTTACGGTCTTAGCGTACGAATACATGGTGCTGACGTATGACAAGTCTGTGGGAATCATCTTGGCTATCATTCCAAATTAATGCTTCCTTCCCCCGCGGGTTAGAATCGCTTACATTGTGATGCTTTCGTAGAAGTCTGATAGTACTCCTGAAAACAGGTTGACTATGTGAAAAACTAGTTCCTCATAAAACGAAACACATTTCATATCTATATAGAATATTCGCCGCTGCTTTTGAACCACTTGTTTATTTGATAAATTTGTCTTCGATTATCCGAATATATCAACAATAAACATTGTAAATGTGTATTCGTCGTTCCGGATGACTAAATCCGTTTTTGTTTTCCTCAATCCATATCACGCCTAACCCAATGAAGCCTTATGCAGTTCACCACTCCAAGTCCCGGGGTTCAGGTCACCGGTTTCCATCACTGAACAACAGGTCCTCGTGACTGTGGGGCTTTCCCCCATCTATCGTTCATCCCACTAAGGTGTGCAATTAAAAAAAAAACTAATAACTTCCAGATAAAGATGTGCTGTACAACTAGGCACGAGGGAACACAAAAGGATAGATAGGGCGGTGGTGACCAAGTGATTTGGTCACCAAATTGTACCTCGAAAGTCCCCGGTTCGAACCGCTCCGCCACCGCCCGTCTTCCCTATTTCTGTATTTTCCCCAGGCAGCCTTTGTATGGCCACCACCCCTTTCCTGGAAGTTGGCTGTACATTTGTATATTCAATAAATTGAAAAGGAAGTAAAAAAAAAAGACATTTTTCAAGTTATAAATGAACCGAAAAAGAATTATTGGTGTTTTTCATCGTGATATTTTAGCCATCTTCTTGGTTTCTGTGATTTCTCTAGCGATAACCTTCATGAGTATCTGTTCTCGGCTTTTCACAACATTTCCGTAGAAGGTTTTTCCATAACTTTACGTTTTCTAACCGTACACAGGACAAATCTCAGCTCATCAGTTGACAAACAAACACTCACCAAGATTGATGCTGTCATTGGTTTCATTGGAATTTTATCGAATCAGTTATCATGACCGGTTTTCTGATCTAATTACGAAACGGGTCTTATGGAAATGCATAAAACTGTGGAAGAATTTAGAAGGAGAAGAAGACGAATGACCAGTTCCGGCAATCGCGGAGCAAATCAACTCACGCGGTACTATTCTAAACTCGTGCTTTTGAGTAAGGACATCCAGTGTCTTGTTATTCTGAGGAGCTCTTCGATTGCCAATGTGATGGTTTCCAATGACTGTACTGTCCTATATACTCGAAAAACCTGCAGATATTCCGTTGCCAGCCCATTATTTCATCTGAAAAACGTTAACGGCACGCGATAATGGGGACTCTCGGTGTTGCTTATGATCAGGCCTTCGTGATTATAGGATTTTCCTCGTAAGCAGTTAGCTGTGAGATAACAGAAATTACTCTTTGGAATTACATTCAACCGGTATTTATTTGCACCTGGTCACATGTTATGACGTGCTACACGTGCTAGGGGGGGGGAGGAACTTCGGTTGGCCCTCCTCCATTCTCTGTTTCGTTATATGCAACTTTTTTTCAAGTCCGTTCCATCAAGTTTGAAGTGTAAACTTCGATTTTGTAATTTCTTCTTAGGAATCTAAATGTAACACCCAAAATGAGCCCGAATACGAGTATATTCGCTTCTTTTCTCGACACAACAAGCCAGTTATCAGTTACGTTGAGATTCTTAACCATCTGTCCCGGTTAAACATTAAAGTTCTGTGTTATCTTGGAGGCTTAGGCGGGACGGTATAATACGGTAATGTTTTTTTATCCAAAACCGGACAAACCTCACATGAATCGCATCACATAGTGCTTGTAAAAACTGAAAGTGAAACTGATACCCCAGAATGTTATCGATTTTTCAGAACTCCTTTTTCGTAGACACGATTTTAAAACATTGACCTGTATAGGTTTTACAAATTTGGCACTGTTAGAATCGTCCCGGTTGGGTGTACATTGGTATGGTTTCTCCCCGTTGCTTGTAGCCCAGATCATTAAGGGGTTGTTGTCAGTGAATGTAACTACTTTAGATGTTTCATACCTTAATAGCATCGAAGGTCCCCTAATTTGGATTTATTAAGTCATTTAACCCCATGATCATAACAATTACCAGGAATCCCCACCATCGTTTATATTCAATTTTGTGAGCTGAAATAATTCATTGACAGCGTAACTTCGAACTATCTTTCTAAAATGCACTTGTGCAACTTTGTTAGCTTTATTCGTTATGGAACGGTTATTTTACACAGCCCGTGGTCACTTCATTCTTATGGACACATCTGATTCCCATCCTATTTGATCTATGATGCTACAAATGCTACCTCTGGTCTTTATCGACTGCACATGGTTCAGTATAAACGAGTAGGTGAGCAGATTTTGTTGTACAAAAACCGTGAATAAGGACGGTTCGTTTGCATACTGGTTTTGGTTTTCAGATTGTCCATAACGCGCCCATTGGAATGGATGGTTTAACGATTTAAAAGGTCGTTTAAGGTCATCAGCGTGTTTGCTGTGTTCACATACACACACACATACAGTCATCATCATCATCATCATCATCAATAATAATATGACCGTATTCCTTTCAGTGATCAACTCGTTCACGGTCTGTCGGAATGAACGACTTCAATGCATTACATTCTGTCATCTGAACAACCCTAGTGAGAGATCCACTTTTCTAAGACTAACATTCTGTCAGTGAGTTGCTCTCTCTCTCTCTCTGACTGCCTCCTAATGGAACTTCGGTTTCGGAAGCTACCGCATACGCACAAACGTTAACATTAAGTGTTGAGCAATCCGGTAAGTGGAATATGCGGTCGTTACACTGAACCTCTGTTTACAGCTCTGTATACCCTTTAATGGGTGCTTATTGGATTCAAAGGTTAGAATTTCGATCTTGTGATCCGATTTAGCTCGTCCGTACCCGGACACCAAATGTTTTCCGAAGTTGATTAACAAACGCGATTTGAACGCTGTTCAGGTCGAATCAGCAGTTACGTTTATCGATTCCTATTTTATTCACATCCTACCAAGTGTAAATGGGTCACGGAATTCGAATTTGTTGAAATGGCTAGCTTCCTACTGATAATATCTGTGCTTACCACATTACTCGGATTCTGCAGTTCTTATTGCCAAAAGAAGAGAATGTTGTTGTCTAACCGGTCGACTGATGCATATCATCTGTCCCTTCGCAACTACGGGTATCGTTGAAACATTTGCCAGTCGTGAAGGGTCTCATGGGAACCGTGACACAAAATATACCTGTGGTTAGACTCAACGCGCAACGCGCAACTGATGCAAAGTTCTTCGGT